ATATATATATTTTTTTTAAAGGGGAACTTTCAAAGTGCTAAATAATATCCTAGACCTGGAAGCTTAGACTTAAAAAAAAATCCAATTCTTTAAAGTGCTGCATTCTGATTGCAATATACCTTTCAGCTTAGAGAAATATACAAACTAGTCATGACATCTCTGAGCAAGCTTTCCAGCTCCTCATTTAATTCCATGGAGGAGGGAGTTTGTAACTATCAATATAAAGTATGTTGGTTAATCAGGAAATTTCCATGGTCAGGTTCATAAAACACCCTTATTTTTTCCAAAAGGAACAAGCAATTTAGAGCAAATCATTACATATGGTAGTATATAAAAATTGGCACCTTAGAACCAGATGATTAAACCAAAGCTATTACTTCCTTGAGCTCTCTGTGACTTTATTTATGTTCCTCAATAATGTGCTGCCCATGAGCTGCTTAATTCACAGAGACAGGTAATTAACGTCCCCCTGATCAGGGACATGGTGGAATAAATGAGTTACGCACAAGCTGACTGTACAAGGCCACGGAATCAATGCCACATTGGTGTGCAGAGAACCCAGAAATGGAGAGACATGGATCAAAACATAACATACATGTATGTGCGCAGGAACGAAATGGCTCATGAAAGTTACATAGCTTGTGTTAAAGTCATTTAGATTTGGCTTATATATTTCACACACTTTACAAAAGGTGCAAGAGTTTCATTTTCATGCAAACAAAAGAACCAGGTAGACACAAGGTCAGGACTGTTAAGCACTTTGTTTCCCAGGTCCTGTTCTGTTCTCCCCAGAAACTGAAAGGAAACCTGTGCTCACTCATCATTTCTTTCCCCCATTTTCAGTCTGGTCCAGGATGAGGCCCTGGTGGGCTGTGATGTCCTGCCCTGTGGTCAAAGATGAATGGTTTCACCTCCTTGGATTCCTCTACAGACTCCCCCAGAAAGCCTTCCTCCTTTGTGAGTGTGCTCCACATTTAAAAAACCACCAAAACGGTAGGATGTAAGTACATCAAACTAGCAAAATCTAATCTAAGGAATGAAAGTAACAAAGTCTTGGTTCAAACTCTTGTGCTGAGATTTGGCCTTCCTGAGAATCACAGAGCAATGGTCTCAAAATACAAAGTGCCTATTACAACTGCAGCAATTATGAATAAATACAGTTCCTCTTCCTCATTGTCAATCAATATGGAACCAGAGGTGCATGAACCCTTTAAAGTTATATTGCAACTTTGCATGTATGTACATTTTGTGTGTGGTGGGGGGAAGGGTCCAGAGCTTTCATTAGATCCTCAAAAAAATTTATGACTCAAGGAAATTTAAGGGCAAGAGATTTATCCTCAGACCACATGCATGTTTGCTGAGGGGAAAATAACCAATGTGGAGCCCAATAAAAATGTAAGCGTTTCTAGAACAATTACATATGAGGAAGTCTGGTTGCTTGTTTCTAATTCACCTAAATATCAAGAAAAAGAAATCCTTTAATTCTTTATATATGGCCTCACCACTATTTCTACACCCAAAAAGCTTCTGCAGAGGGTTTTTCATTTTTAAAAAAAATTTAAAGGCTAGAGGTTTAGTCCACATATTTACTTGATTTCACTTCATGAGAAAATTTGGAGTTCATTAACTACAACTAAACAAAAGAACTAGATAGTATTTGAAGCCCAGAACATGAAGTCATTTTCCTTAAATATTGTATTCTTTTTTAAATCAGTGATCCAAATAGACATTTGAAGATTCGAGGATCAGGAATTCTTTCTCTCACTTCAAATCCAGATTCAGACCTAGAAGCCTATGCCTCTATTCTAAAGTCCTTATTACTATCAGGTTTAGAATTGCATAACTATTTGGACTGCAATCATTTTGGGCTGGAGAAACCAGACTAAATGAGATGTCATGATAGCAAGTGCTTCCAGAGTAAAAAGGGACAGAGGGCAGGTAGCCAGGCATTTTGGCAACTCTAGTTTGGCAGAAGGAAAAGTTAAGGTCATACAGATTTTAATAAATCATAATTTCAGTATCTGTCAAAACCCAATATAATAAACTCTTTCAATGAAACTCCTTGGATAGTAAAAATATCCTGGTTATACCTCAAGGTGACAGAAAAGTCCAAACCTCTTAAGAAAGCTCTGTCTGTTTATATACTATGCATAAACATGTCTCTCTGAGTAAATGCATATATATATATATATATATGTATATAAGCAGCATATACTATAGAGCTCTTTATGTGGTTTATTTGCTTTCTATTTTAGTCTACTGTATCTTTTTTATAGCTCTGTATATGAGAAAAACATTCATGGTATGCCTGCAACTGATGGCTTTGGGTGGCTACCAAACTCCTAGTCAGTTCTAAGGTTATTTATGGTTTTGAAACTTCCTTAAAAAGTACTTTGGAACATTCTCATAAAAAAGATGCCAGCCCTTGAAAAACTCCAATTGAATTTATGCTGAGCTCAGATTAAATGGCAAAACTCTAGATATGAAAATATACACATGTAACCAGATATTCACATACAAAATGGTCGTGTGATGAATGGTGTGGAAAATTGGCAGTCACATCTTGGAGATGTTCAGAGACACAGGGGAGTCATGCAAATGATGGAGGTCACACAGCAACATAACACATAACATGAATGGGAAGAACATAACAATGTCCCATCTGGCAGTTCTGGGTGGGCTGTGTTCACTAAGCATTTTTTGTTCACTATTACATATTCAGTGAGTGACTTCATTGATGATAGGTGAGATAGAAAATAAATTAAAAAATATAAAATTAATTGCATTCATCCTGAGCTTGCTTGACTATACTTGAATGCCCACTGTATATAATAAACCACTTGACATTTATTTTTAACATCTATTCTTTCATTTTGATTGCAATACAAAAAGGTATTTCTTTTCCCTTTATTTTCTTCAAAAAAGATAGACAGTTGTGGCACCAGAAGTGAATATATAATAAGAGACAGGTGAACTATGACTGTTACCTTGTTTTTTCTTTATAATGATCAATTACAGAAGTGTTGGCATGAGAAGGATGTGGGACGTTAGGTAGAAGTGCTGGCTGCCGGCTTATACTGAATAAAAAGGATGCTCTTCATCGGTCACCAGTGATGGAGCCAATGTGAAAAGAAAACAGAATTGAAGTTTAGAATATCTCATTTGTATGCTGGCTACTTTTTTATTTTATTTTATTTTGCAATTTAGCCCTGCATCCTAAAATGCTTGGTCATGGTCAGACATGGAAAGATGCCTCCTGGCATGGAAAGTGCTTGCAGCCCCTTCATTCCCAAAGCTCATGGCTTTCTGAAGTGACCAGAGGTACACATTTACCTCAACCCTTCTTCTCCCTCGCCTTCCCCTCCCAACAAATCAAGAGTGAAGGTGACTTAAATCCCTGTGTTCGGTACTGGGCCAGATCAAGTGCTTTCTTGACCTGTGGCCCAGAAGTCACCTTTGAGTTAACTCCTCCCAAGGCATTGCTTGCTTTGCTCAGCTAGGAATGAAGCAGGTATGTTTCAAGGAAGGGGAACCGGTGGAGTTCGGGGGGAGTTTTAGGGCTGGATGCGCGAGCCTCCCGCAACACTTATTCAGAAGGTTTAGTTGTGCTTGCTTTCAAAGCTGTGGGAAGCGGATGTTCTGGACAGTCTCCGCATGGACAGGCTGTCCGCTCGGCCCTCCGGCTTGGAGGACTTACTCTTCTGGAAGGGATTTCGCAGGCTCACTGTGTTCCGCTGCCTGTCGAGTTTGTCGCTGATGGAGAAGCTCTTCCTGGTGGGCGCGTGTGGCGCACTCGGCTCCTCTGCCGAGTAGCTGTTGGCGCGCTCTGTCTTGGGAACCACGATACTGTTGGACAAAGTTCGGTCTGAGTCGCAGCTCTCCTGGGAGGGCATCACAGCGGTGACTCTCTGGCCTTTGGCCTCCTTCTCCTCACTGTCAGAGCTGGGGTGACTCAGCTCTGCTTCTCGCTCGGGATGGCAGCAAGCAGAGTCCTCCACTTTGCCTCCGAGACCGCCAGGGAAGGCGGCCCTGTCTGCAACTGCTTGGGGGGCGCCGACGCACCTGGTGTCAATGCAGTCTGTAATACTTGTGTATTCTGCTGTTTTCATGGGCACCCCAAAGTTGGCGTAATAGCTCCTCGAAGGAGAAAACATAAAGCTATGAGATTTCACTATGGGGGCCTCTTCTAGAAGAAAGGGTGTGGTGGCTAGGTAGCGGCTACTTTTGGAACGCTCGATGGTGTGGTACGTTGGAGGGTCAGTGTCCCAGGGGTTTTGGCATTCTGGGATGTGGGTATAGTCTGAAGAGAAAGATCTAGTGTCCATCAAGGTGATGTCCTCGAAATCAATGCTCCGACTTGGAGGTCTGTCAGTGGGTGCAAGAGTTGCATAGGCACTACTTGAAGGAGCTGTGGAGGGTCCTGGGGCCGAAAAGCTTGGCTCACCCAGCCCAAGGATGTTCACGGAATTGTCCAGAGTGTCTGTATCACAGTGGAGTTCATCCATGGCAGAGACATAAATGTCTATACACGAAGATGGTCTTCTGGAATCAGGAACAATGGCCAAGGTGTTTGCAGGGGCTATGGGAGCTGTGGATTCTTTTGCTACAGAGTGGGAACTAGTAGCCCGGTGGAGGCTCAGGGACCTTTCTTTAAAAAGGCTTTCCAACTTTTCTATACCACCTTTGTCTTTCAAATTGACTGAATAGAAAGAATGGCTTCGCATACGGGGCACTAGGGTTGGAGAAGTTGGGGACATGGTCTCCTCACCTGCAGGGTCTATGCTCTCTTGAAGTTTGAAGGTGTTGCCCTCCTGGCTGTTGAAGCTGCTCTGGCGGACGATGTACGCTGCGTCTGTGCAGTCCGACGAGGTCCGCGAGCGGATTTTGTTGGATTCAGCCCGCTCCAGACCTGTCAGGCGCTCCAGGGCCGCGGCCATGCGCCCGATGAGGTCCTCGAGCTGCGCCAGCCGGATGTCCACCGTCTGGAGCGAGGCCTTCATGCAGTGCTCTCTCTCGTTGACTTCCTCCAGCCGCATGGACATGTTCTCCACCCTGTTGGAGGAAGAGAAAACAGGGTCAGTCAGGGCGGGTGCCTCTGCTGGAGAATCTGTCTTTTCGAGCTGGAAGAGGCTTCAGAGATGATCTAATCCAGTGGTATTTAGCTGTCAATTCCCTTTTCCCTTAGTGAATTTAATGCACAATCCCCCAAAACAAACACCAGAGTTGAATAGTTCTTCTGAAGTGGAGTGGGGCCAAAGTCCCACCCTTTTACCATCTTCACGGTTTAGCTGTGGCCGGGGGCAGGGTTTAACGACCTAAGTAAGTAGGAGGGTGCTGGCTTACCACCAACTAAATGAGAATGCTGTGCTTCGATGACTTTATCCAGAGTTTTGCAATAGAATTTTAGCATGTAGCTATGCTTGCTGCAGTGTACATGTAAAATTTATATTTCATGAACTGGGAATTTGTTTTGCATTTATATAATGCTTTTTTTTGGTGTTGTTATTCACAATAATCTTTTTAAAATTTAGTGCCTCCAAAGGAATTAATTAACATGGTCTTGTTACTGAGGCACCTGGAGGTGATGCAATCTAATCTGATCCTTTCATTAATAAAGGAAAAACAAACACCAAGCAATTTACCAAGGTTACATAAACTACTTTGTGGTGAACTCTGTAGTGTCTATCAATAAGTAAATTATCCTACTGCCTTTTCTCTCTGGGTCTTTCTGGGTAGCTGATCGCAGGTGCTCTACATTACAGAGGTCAGGATGTCTTGACTCTTCCTTTTGGAAGTTCTTAAGGGTGTGAAGTGTGTCATATTCCTGTTTTCACTTCCAGGTTGCCTGCCTAATACCAGCCAGCTGTCAATTAAGGTTTATTGAGTCAGTCATTGTTATAAACTTGATTTCCATTGTCTAATGGGCTGCCTGGCCACTTCTTTACAAAGATAGAGGCCACACATTTAAAGTAAAACTCTGTCGTATTTTCCACTTGCTCAAATTAACACGGAAAGAACAAACCAGAGCCAAGTTTTGGGTTGAGTTCAAGCTTTCACTTTTAAATGCCCGAAGGCAAATTTTTTGGAGACTCTAAACGAGATCCATACACAACTTTTCGGGAGAGAATAAAGATACTTTCCCAATGCTTCCCATACCCAGAGTAACATCATTTGACAGCTGACCCATAAAAGCAACATGCCTGCATGTCCAGAATATGCTTCACAAACAATGGTGGGAATTAGGGCTGCGTTCCCCCCAGCAATTGCGATGGTGGTGGTGGTGATGGGGGTGTATTAATAATAGCAGCACAGGAGGCTTTTTAAAAAACCTTCCTCTTCTGCTGGCCGGAGTGGGTGGGTGTGTCCTGTGTTGGGGCACATTTCGGCCTCTGAGAAACAACCCTGCCCCACCATCCTGCCCTGCCATTCACACCACCTGCTCTGCTCTTTTACCTTCTGGCCTACCTTCACCCAGCCTGAGGCTCTGGATTGCTCTCAAGAGCCCTGCTTTGCAGACATTTTTGTCTCTTGCTCCCTCCCACTGGCCCCCAACCAACCTGGCGCCTCCTAGGGTCCAGGCACACTGGGCCCCCATGCCCACCTGCAGCCCCAGAGACTGTAAATTGAGTGATTCTGCATCTAGCAAACCTGATGCTATTCACCCAGCTAACAGCTCATTCAGAAGGAAAATACAACTTTTCCTTTCCACTTCATTTTTGTGGTATAAACATGGTCTGAGAAACAAATTACTTAACAGTAATAAGATTGTGTGTCTTATAGACTTACAATTCACTTTGTCACCATCTAGCCTATGGAATTTGATTTTGCAAGTCCTGCAGTTTCATCTTGTACAATGCAATGAGTTTTGGGTAAGTGGATAAAATACTTCTTCATTAAAGGAGAAGGATAGACAGTGCATTTCTGGAGAATGAGGCTTTTTGTTTTGGATTCTCTCAGTGCTGCGTTCACCTAGCTTTTTAGCGTTGGCAGAGTAACAAAAGGCAGGATAGTTTTCTTTCTCCTCCTTTCCTTTCCTGGAGCCCAGTGTATGCAAGGTTGGCATGGAGGTGAAAAAGATGCTCTTTCAGCATGTATGATCATTGGTCTGGGCACTGTGAAATATCTCCCTGCACTGTGGGGACCTCCCTGCCTGCACCCCACCTCCCTTCAGCCCCAGGATCCAACACTAAGGAGAAAATTAACAAGTAAGAGGCAGAGCTCAGGCACCAAGAAGCAACTGAAGATCAGGCTTGGCTGTAGGCAAAGAGTATACAGAAACTAAAGAGCCCAAGGGGATGGGAGGAAGTGTGAGAAGGTACAGGGAGGAAGAGGGTCCTCTGGGAAAGCAAGGAGGTGGGAGCCTCCAGGGTGAGAAACAAGCATGGCTGCAGGGAATGGGTCTTGGGGAGGGAGACCTGCAAGAACAGGGCCAAGGAGCTATTCCTCATCAAATCTTAACTCTCCCATAGGCCTGGGTTGCTTTTGAATGTAAGACATGAACTAAAGAAAACAAAAATGGATTGTTTCATCCATTTTCTTTCAGAATTGTGGATGTGTTTAACCACTTAACTTTTAAGTTAAGTATAATTATTTAGATCACGGATGTAACTAATAAAGGTTTAAAGGAGAAGTTACAAAAGAATAAAAGTTCTGAGGGTCAAATCTATATATGTTTGCTCCATAAAAAGAATGCCACCATTAATCTTTACAAAAAATTCTTAAAATGTTAATTACAAATGGGTATGCATCCCAGATATAAATAGGTCTGAGACAAAACAAAACTAGAGTTCTGGGTCATGATTGTAGTCGAGGAGCTGACTCTGGTCAATCCACGTAAGAGACAAAATAGAGATAAGCATGATAAACATCTATGGATCAATAGGAATCCTTAAGGAGATAGGGAATGGGGAGTTACTAAGTGGAAAAAAAAAATAGAGGGACTGTGGAAAGAAAGACATTGTTTGAAAGGAGCACTATTTTTCTTACCCTCTTTCACATCTCCATGTGATGGCTTATCACACAGCTTACTTCAGAACAACTCAGGAGGCACTCACAATAGGGACACAGCAGTGTCCTGGAAAGATGCGAGGTGGATAAGGAAGTGACAGCCAGGAGCCTATCAGAGGGGACTTGAAAGGTTGGCGACAGCCCTGGTTAAGGAGGTAACTAGCCTCTAAGAGCCATTGTGATGAGGAAAAGGGGCAAAAGAAGATTCTGGTGGCACATTAAATTTCAGCTTCAATATGCAATTTCTTAACTTAAGGACTGTTATTTTCTATAAATTTACCTTCTTTTCTGATAACCTCAAAATGTGTGTAAAAGAAATGTGGTAAACAGAGAAAGAGGACACAGGTTCTCACATCAAAGGCAATGACACAGAACAGCTAAAGATAACTCTTATTTATCCACACACTGATACCTAATTTGTGAATTATTTAGGCTCTTTACGGTCACCTACTCTTCTCTTAGGCCAGTTAACTTTCTCATTAACTCTGGGATGATAAAGGGAGAAAAGTGGAAGTTCAACTCAATGGAGATACAAAAGATCAGCACTGGGAAAAGACATGGTGGGAGACAGGAAAGTTCATCTTTTTTGGCTTATACGGTTTTTTGCTTATTTATGAATTTCATATATCCTAATTTATCTGTTTCTTTATTATGAAAAAGTATAAGTTGCACAAACTATTAATAGTTATGTGTTATCACTTTTTTGGATTCAGGTGAAGTGAAAAGAGGACACAAAGCATTGGTTTGGGAAAGATAATGTTAGATTAAAAGATGATGCTAGAAATAGTATATACCCTAGTTAGCTTATATTGTTACCATTGAGGAGAAAACTCAAACTGTAACTTCTGCCAAGGTCAGCGCAACAGGTGGGGTAATGGTGAGGATGGTCTGGAAGCCTTATGTCAGTGACCTGAGAATTAAATACCTATGCATGGGGCAGAAGTGAAGTAGGCAGGTATAAGAGGATAAAGGCAGGGATTCTGGGGCCGGAGAGAGCACACCCAGTCCAAAGGCACTTAGAATGAATTTTAATAATCACTGTAATTTCTTAACTTGAGGATTGTTATTTTCTATAAATTCACTTTCTTTTCTGATAACCTCATAATGTGCTTAAAAGAAATGTGGTAAACATAGAAAGAGGACTGGTAGGCCATGCCCCTTCTAAATTTCAACTATTCCCCAGAGCACTAGCAGTAGGCTCCCATGTGGGCAGATGGTGCCCATGAGTGAATGCTGCTTTAAATAAATTAAAGGAATCAGAAAAGAACTTCCATGTGATTACCAGAAAATATAACCCTTAAGAACCAATGGGAAATAGCAGTCACTATGGAAAATGGTATGGAGGATTTCAAAAACTTAAAAAAGAAACACCATCATATGATCCATTAATTCTACTTCTGGGTATTTTCCCCAAAAAAACAAAAATACTAATTCAAAAAAATATATGGACTCCTGTGTTTATTATAGCATTATTTACAATAGCCAAGATATGGAAGTAACCTAAGTGTTCATCAATAGATGAATGGATAAAGATGTGCTACATATATGCAATGGAATGTTACCCAGTCATAAAAGAGAATGAAATCTTGCCATTTGCAACAACATGTGTTGGACCTAGAGGGCATTATGCTAAGGAAAATAAACCATACAGAAATACAAATAAATATAATTTCACTTATATGTGGAATCTAAAAAACTAAAACAAAACAGAAATTGACTCATAAATACAGAGAACAAATTGGTCATTGTCATAAGGGATGAGAGTGAAGGGATGGGAAAAATATGTGAAGGAGATAATGAGGTACAAAGTTCCAGTTATAAAATAATGAAGTCACGGGGATGAGAAGTACAGCAAAGGGATATAGTCAATAATATTGTAATAACTTTGTATGGTGTCATATGGCTACTACACTTACTGTGGTGAGCATTTTGTAATGTATAAAATTGTCCAATCACTATGTTTCACATCTGAAATTAATATAATACTGTATATCAACTATACTTCACACACACACACACACACACACACACACACACACACAAAG